ATTAACTAATTATAAATTTTACGAGTCTAAAAATATTACCTTTTTACACTTAAAAGCTTACTACTGATAATTTTTTTAAAATGATAAATTAAAATCCTATGTCGGAGAAGTCTTTGTCAAGGGGACTTACTAACTTTTCATAATGATAAATGAACACTCGCTTATCAATCTGTTAAAAGCACATGACATGTTTTCTTGTTATTAAATGAAGTGCAGCCTATTTATAATGGAATGATAATTACATATTGCGACTTCACAATTTCAATCATGTCACGCAAAGAAGACACAAAAAGAAAGAAGAAAAAAATAGCACAAAATTTCTTCTTTAAACATAGTTGTTTTTATTGTTTATTTATTGAACAATATTACACATTATTTCCTGAGAAAAAATTCTTGTTTATTCAATTGACATAAAAGATAGCGACGACGTATTGTTAATTAACAATGGTCATTTCCATTCCTACGTCGATACGATATATCCGGGTGAGCTTGAGATAAAAGATACCACAGAGTCTGTCACATGCGTTTCATACTTGGATATTTTACTTGAAAAAAAGTTAATGTATAATTGTTTTATGGACTTTGATATTGAATACTGTTCGTTATCCCCATATCCTTCTTGTTTTAAGTAAAAAGAAATTTTAATAACGATAGAGAGATAAGAGTTTCTAATAAAAATTAACGTTTAATTAATTCTTTAGTCATATCAGAACCTAATAAGAAAATACAATTTTTCATTTGGTCGCCTTTCGTATCATTTATACGCTTTGTTTTCACACAAAGAATTTGACTAGTGATTATCTCACCTTAATTACCCTTAATTAATTCTTTAGTCATATCAGAACCTAATAAGAAAATACAATTTTTCATTTGGTCGCCTTTCCTATCATTTATACGCTTTGTTTTCACACAAAGAATTTGATCACTGATTATCTCCCCTTAATTACCCTTAATTATTTCTTTAGTCATATCAGAACCTAATAAGAAAATACAATTTTTCATTTGGTCGTCTTTCGTATCATTTATACGCTTTGTTTTCACACAAAGAATTTGATCACTGATTATCTCCCCTTAATTACCCTTAATTATTTCTTTAGTCATATCAGAACCTAATAAGAAAATACAATTTTTCATTTGGTCGTCTTTCCTATCATTTATACGCTTTGTTTTCACACAAAGAATTTGACTACTGATTATCTTCCCTTAATTACCCTTAATTAATTCTTTAGTCATATCAGAACCTAAAAAGAAAATACAATTTTTCATTTGGTCGTTTTTCGTAACATTTATACGCTTTGTTTTCACACAAAGAATTTGACTACTGGTTATCTTCCGGTCTAACATTAATAAAGTAGGTTTTGACTATACAACAGAGCATGTTTCCCCTGCTAGGTACATGATCCTAGCTATTGTTGGGGGTCCATTTTTGTTCTATACCCTAATAATAGATTTGTATAATTTAACGACTTTTTTATAGACTGACCACTGTTTGTTGTTTTCAGTATTTTTTCTCTGAAAATGTTTTCCTATTTTAATTACGTCAAATAAAATAAGTTGTTACTGACTACTTTCAAGGTTTTAAAGCATAAACAAAAGTTGAATCAGGAATTGGACAAATCCATATATTAAACTATTAAACTGTTGTTCCTATGACGTTTAAATATCTAAACTGTAATTTTTCAAGGAGAAGAAAAATGAATGAAAAAAATTAAAACTCGCTTATTTAAGGACAACTTATTCAAAACATATGACAACGATTAAATAATATATATACTATTAAGACGTGGACTATCCCTTTAAAAGAACCAAACATTTCAGTTTTATATTTGAAACATCAAACTAAACATTTATGGTAATTCATATCAAATCAATATTTTAATGAATTAAACATTCAGAGTACGTAAGAATTAGCCAATCACTCTTTAGCAGCTGGTATATGTTTTCCTATTTATATTTGGCGTTTGGTATTCCATTTGGCAAATTCATACAGGTACCCAGCAACGCAGCAAGTAGCTTTAAAGAACAAATTACGATATGGGCCCTCTTTGGACTATCTATTTAATGTTTGTCTCCTTTACCTTGTCTGAGTGTATCATTACTTCGCGTAAATATGTCGCAAAACTGGAACTAAATAATAAGATATCAAATGGCGAACTCTTAGGAGAATATGGATCTACATCGATGAGGGAGTGTGCAGCTCTCTGTCAAGGGGCGTGTAGAATCTACGGATTTAATCCCCAGATGAAGAAATGTCGTACACACAAGATTTTCACGTCTGAGCTGTCTGATGAGGCCGGCTGGATATACTACTCCTTTGACTGTATGTATAACTGTTATTTTTTATTTCCCTTAGATCTAAACATCATTAGTTTCTATCGCTGAACATTATTGGTTTTAAATTATAGTCCTGTCCATTTACTTATTATTTTAATTAATTGGATTTCGATTGAAAACTCATTTACTTTGAAGATATTATATATATTTAATTTATTTACTTCCTGTTGGAAAACCTTTGAGAAAAATGCAAGCAACATGTAGTAACCCTTCTGGAAGCTGAGATGGAAACCATGCGCCATGGACTACTATGCATTCTCTTTCGCCTATAGTGGGTTTTTTTTTTAAGAAATAGATCAAAACATAAGACACATCTACAAAGGAAAATTATTTTAGGTAGTGAAGAACAGTTAAACATAATCCATTTTGTAGTTCACAACATAAGGTAAGTTATTAAACTCAATTTATCTTCCAAGTATAATGAATATCTTCTTACTACCTGTAGTTATAAAAACAATATGATTCCATTATTTGGCTTTCTTCTGCCTTAGTTACTCCTAAGGACTGCAAAAACCTTCGAGATAATGGTCACAGTAATACAGGGGTGTATGAGATTTATCCTTTTGGGATCCGCTCCCGTGCTGTCAAGGTGTACTGCGATATGAAGACATTGGACGGGGGATGGACCGTATGTAGTTTATTTCAATAATTAAATGCTTTCTTTGTTTGTTAGTACGGGAATGAATGTCGCAGCTATTGCAGAAAAAAAAATAACCAGTTTAAGCAAGCAATTGCTGTGACGTTAATTCCCGTGCTAACAAACAAAGCATTTTTATTATTTATATTTACATCTGTATCAATAATCCTTCAAAGTAAATTTATTGTTTTTAAGATGTATATGTCTGTGTATGTTAAACTGATTGAACAAAGATTGGATCAGCCATTGTTCAAAAAATCTACACACTTGGCTAGCTCAGTGTTGTTCATGCACTGATTAATGGCAATGGTCTTGATACGAAATAAATTGAAAAATATTCGGGGATGTAAATATTCTACTCTTAGTGTACATTATAGAATTTGGACTCAGTGCCTGTTTTTTCTTTTTAAAATAAAGGATGATAAAATTGAATATTTTTATTTAATAATCTCAAATTTCTTAATCTCTTACTATCAAAACATATTGATCATACATTTGTTAATTACACTGATCTGTATTGCTATACATGTAAAATTTTATAGGCAATCCAAAAACGTGTCAATGGGTTCCTCAGTTTTGACAGAGGTTGGACGGAATATAAGAATGGTTTTGGTGACCCAGAACAAGATTTCTGGGTTGGTAAGTGTTTATCTCTTTTAATTTCAACCGCTTCAGAACTAACAATGTGTCTTTACTGTGGCAGATAACAAAATGAAAGAGTATAAAAGAAACATCTGATCTTATGATAGAATAATATGTTTTGACGATATCTACTTATATTATAGGATTAAACGTTCTTTTGTTCAGAATTTATCGATGTGTAAACTCTGCCTTTTTACTCACAAACTGAATAAAAGTGCGAAGCACTTTTATGTATAGTTTGTGAGTAAAAAGGGACAGAGTTTACACATCGATAAATTTTGAAAAAAGAACGTTTAATTCTTATAATTCCAATTACAATTTTTTAAAATTATTAAAATTATTTCCCTTTGAGGCCGCCATGCAATCCGTTATTATGTACGGCGTAGGAATACTTTATGCCGCAAAGAAACGTATACAAGGTGAATATCGATAAAATCCAACTGAAATTGTCAAAACAATCTATAAATAAACTTAGAAGGACTCATTGAATGGTGTTTAAGTCAACAAATATCGTAAATACACGTATTCTCCAGAATAATTCGTCCTTGACCATGGCCATGTTGACATTAACAACAACGTCATAACGAAAGATGCAGACCGACGACGTCCTCGATTTGCTCTAGCTTGTTCAAATATTTAGGGAGAATATGGGATCTGTAGGATGTAAACAAATGAATTTGATGCTAAAAAGGCAAGAGTCTGAGGTACGTTTCTTTTCCCTATCACAACGATACCAACTGAGCTGATATGGAACGTCGAGAAAATGACAGCATGATCAGCGATTTTTTTAAAATTCACACTCGTGATCCGACAGTGACATAAACATAATATTTCCGTCTGTCAGTCCTGATTATCTCCTTTTCATTCATTCATTCGATCATTCATTCGTTCATTCATTAATTCATTTTTTATTTCAAGTTTCTTGTAATCATAATTTAGCTAAAACGGACTAGAAGTATAGATCTGTTTTCATTGTTTTTACAACAGTCAAGAAAGTAGTTCTGATTGAAGAATTCATCGATGTGTAAACTTTTTCTTGAATTTGTTTTCGTCCAATCAAAACACAGGGAATCAATAAATAAAATTTAGATTGGAATTATATAGTTTTTAATTGGAAAATAATGAAAAAAGAGGTTAAAATAACTTATTTGCATGGTCTTATTGAAACCACAGTTAGCATCAATGTCTGCGTCAAAGAAAATAATCAGAGACTTTTCATTAAAGTATATTCATATTGAAAATAGAATTATTGTTTTGTAATAAACTTCACAATTGAATTTGAATATGTCTAAATTCAGGAAATGACGTAATACATCAGTTAACAAAAGAAAACAACTCGCTCCTCTATGTTTGTATCACTCTCCAGAATGGCTCAACGCTTTATGAAATGTACGATCGGTTCTCGGTCTCCGATGAAGCAGGAAAATATCAACTCTTTCTTGCTGGACCTGCCTCGGGATCACTAGGTAAGTGTGTTTGACCTAAGTTTGGTTCAAATCAAGTATATAATCATCTTCTTCTTTGCATAAAAGATCAACAGGTTGAAAAATGACAAATATTTTTATCTAATATTCCGTAAACGTCTTTGATTCAACGATTTCACTTTTTCCGGATTTCGCTGAAAATAATTTGACATCGCTAGGAATCTGGAATTTTTAATTAAATTATATAATTTAAACCATAGTAAAATATGTTAACTTATTCATTACTACCATAACTACTGTATTTAGTAACGACCTTTTGATCCGTCAATGTTATTTTTTCTTTTGGCTTCTTTTAGTGAATATCAATAATTCACATTTTAAACTACTACGAAATAGGAAGTGTTACGCATGTAATTAAGGTCTTCCGTCTTCAGCGGAAGACCTTATTGTTATTCTTAGGTTTCTTTTTCACTTTTATTATTAGGGTCTTCCGTCTTCAGCGGAAGACCCTTCTATTATTCTTCGGTTTCTTTTTCACTTTTATTATTATTATTATTATTCTTTTTTCTCCTTACCGATTTTGTGCAGAAGATTTCTCGGAGATGGCTCGATCGATTTGGTTCAAATTTTCGGTGTTGATGTGCTTCTATCTGAAGTTTGTACCGGCGCTTCGATTTTGAAAAATTCACTTCCGGTCGGAAGTTATCGCCCTTTAATCAAAATTTAGATGACCTCCATGTCTGTGATGGAACTCAAAAACGGGTCAAGCTAGAAAGCTGAAATTTTCAGGGATGGTAGAGGACATGTTGCCATATTGCACCTGGGTCAGGATATTTTCCGGAAGTGCCTAGTATTGGAGCTCGGTAGGGGTCAAAATTTAGGACACGAATCATGACCGATTTTTTGAGACATTTCGCATCATATCTTTTAAAGTATAAATATTTTGTTAAAACATACTGAACATCATTTGTGCAGAACATCGAGATCTTTCATATTATACCAAGAAAAAAGTGCTGACTCGTCACATTAAGGGCAAAAAGGGGCCAGAAGTCTTCAATCGATAACTCTTTAACAATCAATATTTTGGTATACTTTACTGAACAAAAAATGTTAAGCTTAACAATCTACAACTATATATTATGATTTTCATGTCGTATGGTACATAATTAGGGGCCACAAGGGGCCAGAATACAAAATTTTTGATGCTTTATATCTGGAAAGGGAGAAATATTTTGATAAGCAATAATGAACAAAAGATGTTTAAAATAATGTTCTGAACAATATGCAACCTTTCATTTTTTGCTAAACGTCCCCATTAAGGAGTTGAAGGGTTGGCCCCTAAATATTTCTTTTGCTAATAGCTCAAAAACGAAAAAGAATTTCTGAATAGTTATTGAACAAAAAATGTTTAAAATTTTAAGATCTTTAAGATGAGATCCCGAAAAAGGGGCTGGGCACTCAAATTAGGGGCCAAGAGGGGCCAAAAGTCTTTTTTCGATAACTCTTTATCACTTAATATTTTGTAATACATTACTGAAGCAAAGATGTTTATCTCAACCATCTACAACTATATATTATGGTTTTTATGTCGTATGTTACATAATTAGGGGCCACAAGGGGCCAGAATGCTAAATCTTTGATGCTTTATATCTCGAAAGGGAGAAATATTTTGATAAGCAATATTGAACAAAAGATGTTCAAAATAATGTTCTGAACAATATGCAACCTTTCATTTTTTGCTAAACGTCCCCATTAAGGAGTTGAAGGGTTGGTCCCTAAATATTTCTTTTGCTTATAGCTCAAAAACGAAAAAGAATTTCTGAAAAGTTATTGAACAAAAAATGTTAAAAATCTTAAGATCTTTAAGATGAGATGCCGAAAAAGGGGCTGGGCACTCAAATTAGGGGCCAAGAGGGGCCAAAAGTCTTTTTTCGATAACTCTTTATCACTTAATATTTCGTTATACATTACTGAAGCAAAGATGTTTATCTCAACCATTTTCAACTATGTATTATGGTTTTTATGTCGTATGTTACATAATTAGGGGACACAAGGGGCCAGAATGCTAAATCTTTGATGCTTTATATCTCGAAAGGGAGAAATATTTTGATAAGCAATATTGAACAAAAGATGTTCAAAATAATGTTCTGAACAATATGCAACCTTTCATTTTTTGCTAAACGTCCCCATTAAGGAGTTGAAGGGTTGGCCCCTAAATATTTCTTTTGCTAATAGCTCAAAAACGAAAAAGAATTTCTGAATAGTTGTTGAACAAAAAATGTTCAAAATCTTAAGAGCTCTAAGATGATATGAATAAAAAGGGCCGATTCCTAAAATTAGGGGCCGTTAGGGGCAAAAGGCCGATTTTTTAAGTCTTTAATGTTCAATGTCGTTTTACAGATTGTGGTAAATCATTATTTTAGAATGAAAATCTCAATCAAAATCTTATCTCATCTCATCAAGAATTGGACGGAAGACCCACTCGTTGCTCGCAACGAGATCGTATCTAGTTATTATTATTATTCTTTTTTTTCTTACCGATTTTGTGCACGCGATTTCTCGGAAATGGCTCGATGGATTTCCATCAAACTTTCAGGACTTATGTAACATTACTTGAACCTTATGCATTTTTTTTCGATTTGATGACGTCACTTCCGGTTTGGAGATATTGTCGATTTTGTGATTTTTGAAGGGTCAGGTTGTCCGCGAACGTTCTCAGAAATGGCTATAGATAGAAACGTGAAATTTTCTGGTATGATAGTCCTAAGTCTATAGATATGGGAAAATGATTTCATTTTTTCGGAAGTGCCGCACGTCGGCGCTGGTTATGGCCCAAAAATTGTCCTTTCGCGAATTTCAAAATTTTTGACACCTTTTCTACGATATCTTTTTACCTGGAAATATTTTGTTAAAAGATATAGAACAAAAGAAGTGTAGAATCCCAAGATCTTTCAAATGATATCTCGAAAAAAGGGCTTTCCCCTAAAATTAAGGGCCTAGAGGGGTCAAGCGTTTTTGCTTTATATCTCAAAAAGCATTGAGAATTTGCAATACATCAAAGAAGCAAAGTTGTTCATAATGTCAAGCTCAATTTACTGAGGGAGAGAAAATACGTCCGGTGTCGTCACTTCCGGCCAAACCGGAAGTAGTCATAAAACACGTTTTTTTGCCGTTCTCGACAAGTTTTTGGGTCACATTTGTCTCTGGGAGCATAAAAAGTATTTTTTCCGTCCGTCGTCGTCACTTCCGGTCAAACCGGAAGTAGCGAAAATGGCTTAGTTTTAAGGTTTTGATGCAAAATTGAAATTATAAAGTCACTGGAGACTATTTATCTCATTGCTTTCTTTTGTTCCGTCACTTCCTGCACTTCCGGTCAAAACCGGACGGAAGACCTACTCGTTGCTTTGCAACGAGCTCGGCTCTAGTTGATCTTTATTGTTTATATTCTCATAAAAGCTTGATGCTCAAAGAAAATTCATTTGATCCAAACATAGTCAAATTAAAACAAATTCAAATCATCATACATTTTAAAGGCACCGTCTCTAACAGATTTCAATTTTTCAATTATTAATTTTGTTCTAATATTTCCAGTGACCTTTATTACCGGTAATTATTTCATATTATATTTCATGTTCCTTAGTTCTCCTGCCAGACAACTGAGCTTGTTTTTTGGCTAAAGCAGGCAAAAACTAACAACATCATTGAAGTGAAAAATGTCATTTATTGAAGTAAATAACGTAAAAGTAGTAGAACATATTTACAATACAAAAAAGGGGGTCAGGATAGGGGACCTAAATATAAAATATTACATATCACAATATTGCACAATCTGACCCCCAGCACCATAATGTCATTGTAAATGATATACAATAGAAAAAAGGGGGATCAACCGGTAGACTTATTAAGAAATCAAAACCTGGAAAAACATTGTCATGTATAGTATACATATTTTATTTATCTACAGTTGACCCCCTATTAAAGATAAAAAATTCTAAACACACATGAAAATAAATGTGCTACATTGCTGCCTTCTATCAAAAAAGACGCCTGGGATTAGAAATGGTGCTTAATGAATTGCTCTTTGTACTGCAGTATGCTTTTTTTCACATTATCTTTCTTTACAGAAAACAGCATGAAACGTCGTCTATCTTAGACACACTTGAGTATTCAGAAGAGAAATGTGATATAAATCAATTAACATGGTGGTATATTTTCCTATGATTCTACAGGTGACTGTATGTTAGACACTGGTGTATCTACCACAGATCTATCTGGGATGTCCTTTTCCACCCCGGACAGGGATAACGACAGGTATAGTGGTGGTAACTGTGCTTCTATGTACCATGGAGGTTGGTGGTTTAATGCCTGTTACTGGGCCTTTCTAAATGGTCCCTGGTCCTCATCAAAGTGGAATTTTTTAGAAGGTGCTGGGACCTCTGTCAGAGAGACCACAATGTTAATTAAAGATCACTAGGTAAAAATATCATTAAATCTAAATAACCAGTTTTTTTTTTAATTTTGGTATATTGTATTCCCATGAACATTTACAACGGTAAGAGAGAAATATTTTGAGAAACTTGAATTTATCTTTTATTTTTTTACAGATGAAAGACCACCAATCAATCAGGTGATTTGTGAAAAAGGACACAATTTTTTGATAAATCTAGATAATGTTGATCGTTTTGAATAATGTTAGACATCAATGACTTGTAAATAAATATGTTTGTAGCATAAGTGCGGGCAGAGTTGAACTATTCTTTAAAGCATAAATTATTGTATTTTTTTTACTGAATGTATCTAGTAAACGATGCAAATGTGTTGAAATAAATTTGAATTTAGAAACACGTCGTTCTCATTTACAAACGCTGCCACATGAAGGAGTGTGGACGGATAATTAGGATGAAGATTGCTTTATTGTGAAACGTATGGCTTTACCTTACAAAACACCATAATACAGACCGGTGTCAAAAGGTTATCGTATGCGTCTATTTCGGCGTCATAAAGGTTCAATACCATGCAAGTAACATCAGCGAAAATCAAAATTCAAACTTCAATTCATTGTAACTTACTTGTACCTGAGATATAACACAAATATGTATTAAAAAAATCAAATTTGCCAAACAAGACAAGGAGTTGAAAATAAAAAAAAAGCATTCAATTTTTTGAAGATGCAGTATCATAGGTGATCGCGTGTCTTTCAATTTTTGCACATACCGTTGCAATTATGAGACTACGTTTTAAAATAAGGATTTAATGCTTGAGTGTGTGTTAAGTCAAGTAATTCTCTGATATGCGGTAAATAGACACTGAAACATATTTTACAACAAAAATATATAGACTGCATTTTTGTACTTGTAGCACAACTAAGAGTAAAAAATTTTTTAAAAGGCTGATGAAAAAAAAACAAGATGTAATTGTAAAACAATGATGCTCTCTTATAAATGCATATTTGCATAGGTTGTCATTTGTTGCAAGTCAAACTCTAAGGTCAAGAGAGATAGAACATCGTCATTGGTACTCAATGAAAGGTCTTGTCACAAAAAAAAATAACCATTGTTACAACGCACTTTGAAAAATTGCGCACTTTGAAAAAAATTTCAAAGTGCGTTATATTTAGAACCAAACCAACGCACTTTGAAAAAATAAAATTTCTTTTCAAAGTGCGTTAATATCGACCATATTAACGCACTTTGAAAAAATGTGTATGGATTAGTCAATATTCTTGCAAATCTTAATTAAATAAATAATTGAACCTGTTTGATAACTCTTCTGTGATGAGCAATTTTGATTTTTCCATACTTTGAAAATTCGTTCTCGCTTAAATGCTTTACTTTACTTAATTTTTTTCCAGTTTGCATGCATTCTATGTAAACTTAAATTTAAATTTATTGAAATTTGTCAACGTCATATGAATTATGTAAATACATATATTTGGGTGTAGCATAGGCAACAGTACCGGGAAGGGGGGGGGGAGGGTCACATGTAGGCACATAAATGTTTTGCAAAGATATGCATAATATATGTATGCATTAAAAATTGGGGCTTACCTGGGGGGTCAACTTTCAATTCGCTACCGACGGCTATGTACTATGTTTTAGAAAATAGAATTGGGATGAGAGACCTTCTACTCGTTTTCTCCTTGTTCTCAATGAGGTTAAATGAGTAAATGTAAATTAAAAAGGTTTTCGAAAAATATAATTATTACAAATTGATTCTCTCTTTTTCTAAAAACTAAATCTAATTTTTTTTTGTTTCATACATTTTTTTCAAAGTGCGTTAAATGCCTCTATGGTAAAAATGTTTATGTAAACACTTAACGCACTTTGAAAAATTTTTCGAACTGCGTTGATTTTGTCCCAATCTTAACGCACTTTGGATTTTTTTTAAAGTGCGTATTTTTTTCAAAGTGCACTGCCACAAACCATTAAATTATAATAACCATCAAAGAAACAAAATGTTTAGCAATGATGGCCAAAATTAATTTTTTTTAAAAAGAAAGTCAAAACTTATCAAGGTCAATGAGCCAAAATTAAAAGTACAAGAAGTAATTCAAAAAGAAATGCACTTGTGAAATTTGAATATTTCAGAATCAGTCATTTAAAAGTTCTGAACAAAGTTTTTGAAAGAAGGTCAAAGTCTAAGGTCAAGGTCAAAGAGTTAAAAATGTTGTTATTAAAGAAAAGATCTTGTACATATATGAACTAAACCGTGAAAATACATTTGAAATTTTGAAACCCTACGACAAACCACTCAGAATTTATTACTTAGTTTAATGATTTTTCAAACGTAGGTCAAATTCATAAGGTCAACAATATAGACAATTTGACCTTGACCTTATGAATTTGACCTACGTTTGAAAAATCGTTAAATTAAGTAATACATTCTGAGTGGTTTGTTGTAGGATTTCAAAATTTCACGGTTTTGTTCATGTATGTACAAGAGCTTTTCCTTAATAACAACTTTTTTAACTCTTTGACCTTGACCTTAGATTTTGACTTTTGAAGTTTATAGTCCTTCAAGACAGCAAATATTGTCAGAGGCGCGGCCGAAATAGTTGCTGTCGAGAGGGGGGGGGGTTATAAGCGTCCTATTGTCCGAATAGTCAGTAAAGAGGTGTTTCATTATACCGAAGACAACTCTATTTGTGTAAGGTCACAATCCACGTAAAACAAGAGGAGTTCTGAGATGAAAAGGGAAACGGAATGGCCCGGTTAACTTTTTCACCATGGGCAAATAGCACTTAAACAATTCCAATTGTTGAGGCTCAAAAATTCAAAAAGGTATAATAAAATGTTCTGAAGTCCATTCATATACTGTGAAATCACTTATTTTTGTACAGGTTTAATTTTATTTGTTTTTGAGATATGGAGAGACCCACAAACATATGTCTACCACGAAATGTACATTTTTTAAGCAATACCACTCAACACTTCTCAAACATCGAAAATTTGACTCCACGATAATATTTTTACTGATATGTTTGATACCCTTCAAAAACTTATAAATAGTTAAAATTGAATTTATTTTCTACAGCTAACAAATATGCAAAAGGGACGTATTCAATATGTGACCTAGGTAAAAAGAAAATAAGTTTTGATAATCATAAGCAGACATAGGCATAACTAAAATTTAATTTGAAGAACAAACGAAAATAAGTATTGTTGGGTTGTTTCAAACCATATCCATTGTCTTTCAAATGAATAAAATAAGTGTAAAATTACAAAATGTATACAATGCAATAATATCTGTTTCCAAGATTTCGGACGAAGTCTGTTATCTAAAGACAACGTCACATAAAGTTGCGTTTACACGGAGCGTAGGTGATATTGTGTGACATACAGAGCATCAATCTGAGAAGGAGGTGAGGCAAAGAGAAAATTTCAAAAATCAAGAGTTTTTAAAACAAAACCTAAGTGCGTTCTGTTGTAGCAAAGGTTCTTACTAGATCCCTGAAAGCAATCAGAGAATTACTTTCTTGTAACTTAATTAAGGATAACGTTTACTCAGGTTTCAGAAAACAGAAAGGGAATATTATGAAATATAATAATGTTAAATCAATATTTGTTCTAAATGGATAAAATTATCAAGTTTTAACTTAAGGTATATCACTCGTGAAATTTGTTAAATCAAGGATCATTTAAGAAGAATATTTGGATAGTGTGACAAAAAATCGCAGAGAAAATAGGGGGTCAGTGTGCATCTTACTGATCTAAAGTACAATGAAGTTGACCCTTTTGCACCTGTATCAGATGTAACCATGGCAATTAATTTTATTTTACATAAAATAGTTTGAATAATATTTATCAATGAACAAATCTTGCAAATTAATCGCGTATATTATTGTGTGACATTTTTGCACTAAAAAGTAACATATTTGGGGGTATTAAAAACTAAATAAGTAATAAAACATTTTATTGAATCAAACTTTTTACGGCTTAAGTACTGATAAGACGAAAGTATCAATTTTTTTAAATAACGAGAAAAAAAAGTTCGTGTCATTGATGTTAATTTTGAAGTATTGTTCAAAATATGTGATTTTCAGGCGAAAAATGGTATGAACGTATCTAGACCTATTTGATATATCTTTATTTTTTGGCAAAGTTTGTTGAAGGAAGGCGTAAAACTTGTTCTAAAAATATAAGTTAAGACCAATATTAAATATTCCTAGCAATATCATAGCGGAAAATGTTCTCCGGGTAAAAGCAAGTGAGACTAAAGTTCCAAGATATAAAATATAATTTTTTTGAGCAGTTTTTTTTTTTAAATGTTTAAACATTAACATTGTCGAATTCAAATATGTTATAAAACTTGAATTTAAATAGATAGTTTTGAAGCAAGAGGATCTGCGTGAATTTTTTTTTTTAAAGCTGATTAGTTACATACCTTAAAATCAATATGAAAAATTAATATCTTATTATTTGAAGAAAATATACGGGAACAAAAGTCAACGTATAGAATGCAGAGGAAATTTGGTCTTTTATTAAATTTTTCAATTTCATTTTCAATTTTTTTAATGAAAATTTTCAAAAACATCGATCCATTTTTTTTTACTTTATAGCAGGAAGACAAATGATAAAACCGTAATGAAAGTATTTCACATAAATTAGGACGCACAAGACGCACAAGAAAGATATTTTAAAAGAAGAAAAAAGAAATTGTTTGCAAAGCAATCTAGCTTAGTGTCCATCAGCGTGATTCCTGTAAAATATAATGAAAATAGTGTCATTAATGCAGTGTGTATATTATTACTTTTTTGCCTCGATGTAGATCTGCTTCAATTTGAAGAAGAAGAGTCTTTGATTACCAAAATCTATTGAGGAGTTTGATTGTAGCATTCTAGAAGACTTCATTCAGTTTGGAACATGTGAGAATTGTGAAGTTTTGGATCATGGTTGTAGTGTTGGCAGGTATGACAAAAAGTCATCGGATTCCTTGAGATTCTTTGCACGGAAACCATCATCTTCTTCTCCTACA